GACTACATTAAAGTACAATAGAACTCATTAACTATGTCGGAGAACATTTATGCAAAAAATTGTTCCTTATTCGTCACGTGGCTACAGGGACATCAGGAAGACTGTGGATGTGTGTTTGCCAAAGCTCTAAAGGTGTTTGGTGGTTCTTATGCCATGATTATCCCATTGTGATCGAAATTCAGTGTAATGAAGTGCACACAAGTCAACCTCGCTTAAAGAATCAAGAAGCCCAGAGTTTTCCATAAACTGAAATAAGTCCTTGTATAAGGCAGACAAAACTCGATTTACTTCCGCCCATAAGCGTTCAATGCGTTGATTGTGTATGCTTCTGCCAGCTATAAAACTTCCTCTCCCTTCTCCCCTGTTTGCAACCATGAAACGTGCCACATCCACATTTTCAACACCATGCATGGTCTCCTCTTACACGGGAGGGCAAGCCAAATTCCTCAACTCCATTCTAAAAATATCCAAGAACTGTGTTTGCACAGTTATTTGTATAACAATTCAAATATATCCTCAAGCGACTAAAACCGTCAATACATCCATGTATCAAAAAATCTTTGTGATATTAATTTGTGGTTGGAGTCAATGTGCCAGAGATGATTAGGACCTTGCACATTATAAACTCTTTAATTGACAAATTGCATTACGTCTCCTAATGATTCTTCCAATAGGATCGACACGATACATGCTTTGTCTTATCCGCTCTCTTTGAACAAATACACGCCTAACTCTTGAACCTCCTCTAACATAGCTTTCACCACTGTAAGAGTTAGGCAAAGAATTTGTCTTACATGCTCATCTAAATCCTCATCACTGATTTTGGAAAACATTGGATGTATTCCATATTCATCTCTTTTTCTAAGTAGAGTTCTCTCTGAAACAGCCAGAAAATTTGAGATTGCTTTCCAATTCATACCAGTATCTCTTAGTGCTTCAATTTGGTCTTTCGGTATATCGAAAGCAGGTCTTCCCCCGGTGCTTGGCATAGTCATACACATGATATAAATAGGTTAAAAATTCATTATTTCATTTTCTCTTCACGACTCAAACACGAGTTCGATCGGAATACCTAATTCTTTGGAAGCTTCAATTCCATGATTAAGCTGTAAATCTCTGAGGGCGAAAGGCATATAGACTTATGTGTATCAGACATTGCTGAACGGCCGAATAGTTTAACTTCCTGATCGGCTAAGTTATTGCTCAATTATAATAGAATAATAAATATCAAAGAAACATGACTAAAACCAAATATGGCGTCTTAATTGACGAAATTGTTTTATATAACATTGCAAGAGCGGCCATAACCGCCATATTGATAAAATATCTATATCAGCGTAGTAGCCTCCGTATCAGCACTATTAAGGGTTTGAGGTCTGTTGGTGCATCAAAAACACTATAATTATACTTTATGTATGATGCTCTAATACAGTCTCACTTTGACTATTGTTCGTAATGCCGTGTGGGGAAAACTTAAGCTAACCAATCCCAGAAGCTATAAGGGGCTTATTAGATGGAGTGGTTTCAGCCCGGGCTGAAACTTAGTGTTGTCGTGCATGTAATCGTATATAAACTTAAACTCGGACAAAAAAATTCGCCTTGACAATGCTTTTTCGTTTCTTTATTTCATTTATTATTACTTATTTCATTTTGTTTACAGCCTGCACTATTGCGGATATTGTTACGTTCAGGAAGTTAGTATTGTTCTGCTCAACTTTCTGGGAAATCTGTATTAATTTCTTACCCGCAGCAAATAACTGCTTTCAAGCAGTTAATCGGAAGTAAAGATAAACAAATTTAGTTTGAAATCTTGGGCAAATATTATAGCAAATATTGTGAAATAGAAATCAGGGTCTTGTCGGGCCAACGTAGAGATCTCCAATTACGGAGAAACTCAGATACCGCCATGCAAATTTGTGACATGAAAATTTGCGACTCTTATTCACTTTTAGAAAGATATAATGAATTTAAGTCTAAACGATTAACAAACGAACGAACAAATGCATAAACGTAAATATTAATATCTACTTTGAATTCCCGAATTACTGTCACAGAACCCTATCGCAAAATGTTTATAATAATTAACACATTAACACATTCTACACATTCCACGAGCAAGGACGAACTCAAAGGAAAACAACGACCAATCTATCAAGCTTCAATAGATTTTAATAACCTGGAACATGAACTAAAAAACGGTATTTCATTACCTAACTTTAAGAACCTATTGAAAAGACGGTGATCGAATATACCATTTGGCTATAGACTTTCCTTCTTCATTCCTTTCCATTTTACCATTTTCTACTCAATATCTTTCCTCCACATCATAACCCAATTTCCTCATTGTATTGCATTATATATAGTATTATATTGTATTGCGAACATGTTACAGTATTGTATTGTTTGGCATAATCATGGGATGGTACCGTTCAGTATTGTATGGTATTGTGTTGTATATATGTGTTGCTGTAAATAATGCATGTTTAAATTTTGAAATTATGTAACATAGATGCAGGACCCCTGGTTAAATATGAACTTAATAATAATAATAAATTAGGCATCATTATATTACATACTTTATTCTTCTGCACCTCTCAGCTTTTTCTTCATATAAAAACCAACAAGAAAACTAACGGAAGCGTTCGGAGAGCTTCTCAATTACCTACAACATAGAATCGATAGAAGCAGCAATTTACATGCAATATTAATAAAATAAGCCGCCCGTTCTTACAATGTTTTAGTAGGGCGCGTCTGCTGTTGTTATGATAATTAATGTATTAGCGTTGTTATAAATTCCACATACGTCCGGAAAAAGTACCTGCTCATGTTAATATTAGTTGCATTACTCTAATTCTACCAAATCGAAATGACGTACTTCCGGTTAACATGAAATTTAGATTGGCTTCAATTTTTGTGAGTGGATACTACTTTATTAGGTTTTGTCTTTAAGGATAAATGCCATTGTTGATGAGCACGTTGCAGTTGTATTTTCTAAACTCTCTGCAACTATATCTAAGGCGGGGAAAACGTATCGTATCGGCAATACGTGCTGGCTTTTTAGCCTGAGCAGGGAAGGAAGCATGAGGAAACAAAACCTATTACTTTCCCTTCGCTTAAATGAAAATGATGAATGGAAACTAATCTTACTTTCCCGACATATCGACGCTTTTAAAGACGAAAGAAAATGTAAATTATGTTGCATTTAACCTTGCACATCGCCGTGGTTGTTGACAAGTTTACCAGATTACTGAATAAATTAGCCAAATAATATTACCATAATCTTTTTTTTTTCTTTCAAACAATGAAATCAAAGAGCCGACTATAAACATGTTTGGCTTCTTTTTTTCAGTAATCCGGCAACCCTGGTTGCTGAAACGATAACGCTGGCTTACGCCAATATCACGGTGCATCACCACGCGGCAGTTAATGTGTTTTATGTTGCTTAGGGGCTGTTCACATGAGCCCGCGGTTACAGAGATTTAACGAAGCGTAAAATGTTCTGTTTCAGAAGCACTTAATCAATACTTCAAACGAAGCATAAAATGTTATGCTTCGTTAAATCTCGGTAACCGGCCTCATGTGAACAACTCTTAGTGTGCTTGAAGCAAATTTGCTGATCGACTTGAATCTTATGCCCTGAATATGTAGTTGTAAACAGAACCTATGTATTAAGGTTAAAAACATTTTGTTTGCTTGTTGAATAAAACGATAGACTTGCTCTACTTTGAACTTAACCACCGCTTAAGCTAAGCGGGCTTGATACAGCCTGCCCCTGAAGGGTGTCGCTAAACTGGATCGGATTTAACTCCAGCTGTAAAACAGGCCATGACTGGCATGATCAGCGAGATGATGGTAAATATGCATGAGAATTATAGCAAAGAAATTAGACGAACACATTATGGACAATGAGACGAATTTTGATCGTGCTGAACCACCTCCTTCACAGGGCCTTTTGGGACTGTGTATGGGGGCTGGGAGCGAGAGGAGAGAAGACGAAAGGCCCTGGGACCGTATTTTGAATAAGCATAATTTATCATAAAATTTTCCCTAACATTTTCAAAATCGCGGCGTCACGTAGAACGGATAATATTCTCGCAATAAAGCATATTAGATTTGTACTATTTCGGAATAATTACAAAATATTACGCTAAACATAAATTAGAAAAAATCATTTACTAAATCAGAAGTCAGAAGCGGCTGGCCTTTTACCCCAAACCAGAATCAAGGTAAAAGGCCCTGGGACTGAGGTACGTTGCATGTTGACACCAATGAACTCAAATAAGATCGCAAGGCTAGCTCCGCCGGAAGTTTGAAGCCAAAATGGCGGACACTGAAGCCCGTCTTGTAGGTATGATCCAGTCCTCCGACCTCCGGCGCCGGAATTTTTATTAGGTAAAATGTAGGCAATATATGACTGAATATTTAAAATTCGTCTAGGTTCAATTTACAGACATTGTCGGCCATCTTGGCTTCACTCATTAATGAGGGAAAGTCGGAGATCTAGCGTTCCAGTTTTATTTCATTGAGTTCACTGGATGACACACTTGATCAGACATCTAATGAGCTCAGTGCATGGGTCGTCTACAAATCCGTTCTCTCCAAAGGCACAGAACGATCTCGTTGACAACTATTTAATGGAGCCAGAATGTTTGCCGACTTTCTGAGACGAAGTCACCCAAGAATTTTACGAAAACGAGTCCTGCTATTGAAGAAAAAGTTGCGAAATTGGTAAATGGTCTTGTAGGCGAGAAGTTGTCAAAGACTGACGACTGATGTCATTAAATAATACCGGCAGGCAGAAAAATTTCCTCTGTTAGTAGCTCCGAGATGTAATAAAGCAGTTTGGCATCCATGCTGAAATGTCAAAGGTTGGTTATACACATATGCGCTGATTCAAGCGGCCATGCATGAAGGTCATGCATGAGAGCACAAAACCAGCTACCATGTTCTAGTTCTCGCATTATCTGCTAATGCAGAATTTAATCAGAAGCACCAATATTTCTTACGTCCGCATCTTAATGGTTGAATGCACTATTGTTACATATTTTCCACTGTTTTTAGGACTAGCTGTGATTAACAAATTAGGGTCGAGATATTATAATACAACGTGTTTGTATTTTAGCTTACAGATGATATTTTATGAGTAAAAATTAGGTATAATAATTATTGATTTTTTACCTCGTCGTCAACTAAAGTTTTTTGAAATTGGTGGCAACCTCCCATCCGGCCACCAAGCCGAAATTTACTACCCGTTTTCGAATTTTACTATACGAGTTACATAGGGCTAAATTAGGTTTGCATAATTACGTTATAATTTATGTTATTTTCCACCCCCTATCTTTAGAAAATTTGTTGTAGTCAGTTTAGTATTTAGTTTACTTAAAAAATGCTTGACATGCAGTTCTGGGAATTCGTTACCGTGAATTCTATCGTATTACTGTGACTAGTTATTTTAGAGTTTGATAAGTGTTGTCTGTAACTCTTGCCTTATCTAAAGCAGCATATCTCGAGTATCCATCGTTTACGGAGCCCTTCGGTGACTGGTAGCGGAATTTTTGCAGCACAATTTTAAGATCAATCTCTTCGTAAATTTGATTTGCATTTGTATCTTGAACACCGGTACTCGATCCACCATTTCTGTTTCCTAACCATCGTCGACGACAATACACAACAGCATATGCAACACAAAGTACAACAATAATTACAGCCACGACGATGATTAACGAAATATACCATTTAGTTCCGTTCTTCGACCTTTTCGAGTGTGATTTTTCTGAAAATAAAGTCGCATTACTGGGATTTTAATCTCGAGTATCCATCGCTTACGGAGCCCTTCGGTGACTGGTAGCAGAATTTTTGCGGCACAATTTTAAGATCAATCTCTTCGTAAATTTGATTTGCATTTGTATCTTGAACACCGGTACTCGATCCACCATTTCTGTTTCCTAACCATCGTCGACGACAATACACAACAGCATATGCAACACAAAGTACAACAATAATTACAGCCACGACGATGATTAACGAAATATACCATTTAGTTCCGTTCTTCGACCTTTTCGAGTGTGATTTTTCTGAAAATAAAGTCGCATTACTGGGATTTTAATCTCGAGTATCCATCGCTTACGGAGCCCTTCGGTGACTGGTAGCAGAATTTTTGCGGCACAATTTTAAGATCAATCTCTTCGTAAATTTGATCTGCATTTGTATCTTGAACACCGGTACTCGATCCACCATTTCTGTTTCCTAACCATCGTCGACGACAATACACAACAGCATATGCAACACAAAGTACAACAATAATTACAGCCACGACGATGATTAACGAAATATACCATTTAGTTCCGTCCTTCGACCTTTTCGAGTGTGATTTTTCTGAAAATAAAGTCGCAATATTGGGATTTTAATATCATTAAGGTAGCGCTTAGAGAATTGTGCTGTATATTAGCCATTTTCCAATCGAGCAGGGCACTGGCTCTAGTCGCGAACCGCAAAGCATCTATTAACTCTTTGGAGGGACTAATGATTACAATTACAATTTCTTGTCTCTTCAAACAGTCCATAGATACTTTACCATTCGCGACCAAACCCAGTACTCTGCTCGATTAGGAAATGGCTAGTTAATTTTGCACAGGAAATTGATAGTTTTTAAGCATATGTTTTTTAAAATCATATTTTGTATTTTACACTATATCTGCTTTGGTTGTTAACTCGTTGGTGGTTGTCATGCGCACAGCAAGTTTACTGGTCGATTTACTCTTGATGTCAATTACAAGGGCGATATTTCTTATATAGCTAAAAAATTAAGAATTATTTCGTGTTTTTCTCATAATATCGTAATACTGTATTGACCTAAATTGTTTACCGTAATTAAAATCAACCTCAATTGATTTCTCATCCGTGAGAGTGTGGCTTTTTCCAACACATGTGTATGTTCCATTATCTGTTTCACTGACATTACTGAGATTCAACACGTTTTGTTCCTGTTCTGTGTCGCCAAACTGGACGCCATCTTTATACCATGTCACATTGGCTGGAGGTTTTCCACCTTTTCCTTCACACAAGCATGTTATATCATCACCAAGATTTACTGCGATGAAACTGGAACAATTGACTGTTACATTTGGTCTCTCTGAAATGTTAGGCAATAGAAATAAGGTTTTTAATGACACGTTTTTAGACTCGAAGAAACATCGAGTAAACACGTTAAGCCCATGAATATATCATATAAATTTATAAACTTAATTACTGAGGAATTGAAAGATTTCGAAACTTATTATAATATTATTGCATGAATGCATATAATCACAATCCTTTCATTCCTTTGAAAACAGGTCACTGAAAGGCTATCATGCATAAATATGTTTAAAAGAAAATACTAAATATAAGTATAAGTACAAAGGTGATAATTGAAAGTTCTGGCCTCTGATTAGTGGAATGACCTCGGATTCATACGCGATAATCACCTAAGCGGATTTTTAAACAGGATCTATCTCGCAAAATATAGCATTATTTATTTCTTCAGTATTTAACATTTTATAAGTAGTATTTTCAGTAACACTTGAAATCGATATTCTCAAGGCAGATTTATGGTAATTTCAGGCGTTTTCAAAATTGCTTTAAGAGAAAACTAATAATAGGCTTACCAATTTCCTATTATCGAAGTTTTACTTGCACCTTACTAATAATTTTATAGGCAAAATGTCATAAATTGAATCTAAATGCAATTGCCTGTACATTTTCAGTGGATATTACAAATGAAACACCTCTAGCAACACATTTTTTAATTGTTTTTGGAGACATGTTCAGATCTCAGGAAAAATTCTTATTTGCATGGTCAGCGACGCGGAATTGTGTGAAGCGACTAAGAAACAACATGCAAAGTTTTTATCGCCATCGGATAATTTTCGGTGTCAAATTAATTCATCTGATATTCTACACTACATTTAGTTGAAATAATTTTACCTACCAGTCGCAGAACATTGTACTCCGGCGTCTTGATTATGGTGGCAAGAATGAACTCCCCAACCATTATGAAAACAACTTGCAATATTTTGTTCTTCCCCAGTGCACGAGACGGCCATCAACCATATTCTTCCTGAGCCAGAAGGAACGCTGTTCCTTTCAAGAGCCCTGACAGCATCAGGATAACCAAGCTGACGACAAGCAACCCTAGCATCTCTCAAATCCCATCCAGAATCGCAGATTGTTCCCCATTTTCCATTGTAGAATATTTCAACACGACCAATACCCTCTTTACGTGATGGCCCTTCCAACCTGATTGGCGCAGTTATAGCTGTAACAAAGATATAAGAACGCAAGCGTGTGAACAAAAAATACGTTTTTTTAGACAGTAATGGCGTACTGCCGATTGAGTTGACAATACTTTATTACTTAAATTTAGCTAATAATAAAGATTATCTAATATAACGTTTTAGATCATTTTACGCAGAAAATAGCAGAACTTTCGTAATTTAACTAATGCAGAAAATAGCAAAACTTTCATAATTAATCTAACGTTATTTCAAATTTATATTTTGATTATTTTTTATTATGTTAATTACATATTATGTTTTTATAGTATTTTTTTTCAATTAATAATGTGAAAGCTCTGCAAAATCTAATATGACAATTTTGCGAGCCCTGAGTGAAATCTGAACGCACTATTCAAGTATTTGGCAAATCAACACTTGCACTGACGTAGAGAGGACGCGCGGAAGATCATTAATGTGGCTTTCCTTCTTTAGGTAAAAACGACCAGACCGGTTTTTCAGTACAGACAGAATACTGATATTTTAAAGTTTTTCTATCACTCTCCATTCGAGTATATCTTTATTTCCATCTTCCTATAGCACAGGAAAAGCAGTTTCATCACCATATTCCTAACAAATCTTCTATTTCAATTAAAAATATGACCTTTTAGCCGCCAAAAGGAAAGCGCCCTTAGTAGAGCAAATATTCATTTATTTTGCGTCTTGAACCTGATTGTTCTTTCGTTCTGTCAATTAAGATGAAGATTTGACCTTTCTGAATACGTATGTGCCAAATTTGAAGCCTGAACTAGGAAGAAAACTTGAAGAAATCTTGATGGATAAAAACCTTTTTAAGCCCAAGAAAAGAAGCATCCCTAAATGCTAATTTTTGTAGAAATGTTGTCACGCGGAATCCTAATTTGTCCTGTCGTGGTCCGTGAACGGTGGATGGTGCATGGACGGGCGACGCTCGACCGTTTTGTTAGTTTTGCGCATGCCCGACTAACGACTGGTAATCAACAACGTTCTGATTGGCTAGGACAGAAAGTTAGCATTTCAATGAGAACGTCGACGTCAGCATTCAGCAAATAAAACTGCATGTCATTTCAGCAAACTCTTTTTTAATTAAAAAGCGCTTCATAAACTTTGGGCAAATAAAATCAGAAGAAGCAAAATAGATGATGACAGATAACATAATTCATAATCTGCAAACTTATAAGTGTTTTAAAATGGTACGTGTTTACTTTTTATTTGTATATTTGCTTCGCAGTAAGGATGCCGTTTTTTTCTATAACTTTCAGCTTTGTATGCCGTTTTGCAAAGCCATAAACCAACTGCCTAGTTGAAATTGTTCAATCTTAGAATTATCTGCAATTCTTAAAAAGACACCAGATACTCGCGTGACCTAGCTACGACAGTGAAGATGGTTTACAGTCCGTAATATAAAGATTAAATCTGTATATTTCTTCAAGAAATTTCCGAATATTTGACAGGCTTGTACGTCGCTATACTTCTAAATGAATATCAGAAAGATTTTATGTTTAGACATTCGAAACAACTAGGTTGCAGAATTGAAATCGGTTTAAGTCTATTTAAAGATTAACTACCAAAGAATGAAATTCCAATCTCAAGTTTGAAATTTCCCTTACAATCAAAGTGCGCAAAAATCCTGAACATAAACCTAAATTTTTCCCTCTTAATAACATATATTTTTAAACTATGATTATTTAAAGAGAAGTGTTTGATATGTTATGGCACACGTAATGCGCCGAATAATCTCGTTTGAGGTAATATGAATGGCGCATTTTAAGTACCGACCTGTTGTAGAACATTCCACTCCGACGTCGTTATTATGAGAGCAATAATGATCTCCCCACGGTCGATGTGAACAACTTGTTATATTTTGCTCTTTCCCAGTACAAGCGACCTGACTCAACCATATCTGTCCGGAACCTGGAGGAAATTCGTTCCTTTGAAGAGTTTTAACAGCGTCAAGATACCCAAGTTGACGACATACAACCGTAGCATCTCTCATACTCCAGCTATAATCACAGATTGTCCCCCAATATCCATGATAGAGTACTTCAACACGACCAGCTCCTTTTTCACTTACTGGGCCTTGTAACCTTAGCAACACAGGGGTAGTTGAAAAATCTAAAAGGGATATTCACAACTATAGAAGCTTTGCTACCTCACATGACTATAATTTCTAAAATCCTATATATGAAGTGAAACCTAAAAGGATAGCTGTTTAATATAATTATTTTCTATTTCCATAGTATAAAATGGAAACTGCAAGCCTTCTGTAAAATTTCGAACTAACTTAATTTAAACTGCAGCCTCGTATTCTATATTTACTGAATATTAAGCGAACTTTAATTAACTTCAACTTCAATTTCAGAAATTTTAAAGCTAAGAGTTTCCTTTCCGTTAATTGCCATTCTAGTTTGGGACTGATCAAGTAGTAGCATTGCGGAAAAACCGAAATATTCCACAACCTTTACCTATTCTACTACATTCGACTCCGACGTCTTTTGAATGTTTGCAATCATAAGATGTAACACCCCAACCACTATGAGAACACCTTGCTATATCACGCTCGGAACCTGTACAATCAACAGATTGTAACCATACTTGTCCAGAACCAGAAGGAAACTGTCCACTACGAAGTTCCCTAGCAACATCTTTAAAACCAAGTTGACGACATATAACCCTGGCATCTTTCATATCCCATCCATTATCACAAATTGTTCCCCATGTATCATTGTAAAATACCTCAACTCGACCAGTGCCGTCTTCACTTAATGGCCCTTGTAACCTGAGCGACACAGTTATAACTGAAAAAAAAAGAATGGGGAGTAGATATGTCGTATGAATATACATAGATTTAGATTTAGAATGGTATGCTGTTTTTCTAATTTTTCAATATTTTTCATAGATTCAATATACATGCTATGATGACGTTTGGGATGCGTATTTTTAAAGTGAGCGTTTCTTTTAATTCATTTTTTTTTCTTCCCAAGTGTAATTCAAATAGCTACATTAAGCAGTTCGCCTTTTTCACTCAACCAGAATTTCGGTAAGCCTTTTTTCGAATTGAAGTTGATGTCGTACGGCTAGAGATAATACCTGTCCTTGAACATTCTACTCCGGCGTCTTGATAATGAGAGCAAGAGCTCTTCCCCCAATTGTTATTTGGGCAGCTTGTAATATTCGGTTCTTTCCCAGTGCAAGCGACGTGAGCTAGCCATATTCGTCCAGAACCAGAGGGGACCAGATTTTTTTGAAGAGTCCTAACAGTATCCGGAAAACCAAGTTGACGACATACAACCTTGGCATCATTCATGTCCCATCCATCATCGCAGATTGTCCCCCAATATCCATGATAGAATACTTCAACACGACCTATACCATTTTTACTCAATGGTCCTTGCAGCCTTACCGCCACAGATGTAGTTGAAATATCTATAAAAAAATACATACTATATAAATTCTTATGATTCTTATGATAAGTCGTTCAACTCTATGTAATGAATGGTTGACTTGGTTGTTTTTTTTGGTTATGCGCATGACTCGTGCAAGACTCGTGCTGAACGCAAAAGGAGAAAAGTTGTTATTTCAACGAGAACGTCAGCAAATTGTCATGATTTTACTACGAGAATGTAATAAATATTTTAAGTCTTTAAACATATTTTTAATATTATAATCAGTTAATAAAAATCATACTTTAGAAATCTGTAAATACCTCGCGTAGAGTATTACACGAACATTTAGTTAAGTGTCCCATACCCCACAGTTGAAAACTTCATAACATGTCATGAGAAAAGGGCTGATTTATAAAAACTGGAAGCGGAACAGCTTCAATAAAAAACAATTTTAAAATGCTGCTGTTGCATATTCAAATATTGATTTCCATTTGGCTGTATCATTTTATACCTATGATAACGCACATATGCATGCTCTTTACGTGGAAACAAAGTTGTGTCTCCTACTTGCATTGCAGTTTACATTACACTCGGGATTTCGGCACGCACAGTTAAAATTGGTACCCATTGGTCGTGTTCAGGCTATGAATACAAAAGCCTAGCACAGATGAAATTTGCACGGGTATCCATCTTAGGGGCTGTTTACATGAGCCCGGTTACCCAAGATTCAACGAGGCGTGAGATGATTTTGAGATATCAAAATGAGCAGATAATTATTATGATCCTGGCAGTCGTATAATCACCACAACAATAGCATGTGCTTGTTTGGTGTCATAAAGACTTATTTCAATACCTCAAAGTCCTCTCACGCTTCGTTGAATCTCGGGTAACCGGGCTCATGTAAACAGCCCCTTAGGCGAGCTGATAACCGATTGAAGAGAAACGGAGCTTTAGTCTGTTTGGTAAACGGTTTTAGGACCAAATGATTTCCAAAATAAGCCTGGAACAGACGAACTAATGACTGAATTGCAACCACATAGTAACTTTAAAAAAATGTACGTTTCGTTGAATACAGCAACTGCATGTTCATATTCTATTTCAAGAAATTATATCCTTAAAATACTGGCATTTTCTAACATTCATAAGACGACTTTCTGTATGATGAATTTCAAATACCTGTTGTAGAACATTCCACTCCGACGTCATTATGATGAGAGCAATAATGTTTTCCCCAAGGACTGTGAGAACAACTAGTTATATTTTGTTCTTCGCCAGAACAGTCTACAAGATTCAACCATATCTGTCCAGAACCTGAAACAACCTCGTCCCTTCGAAGAGTTCTAACAGCATCGAGATAGCCAAGTTGACGGCATAGAACCATAGCATCCTTTATATCCCAGCCGTGCTCGCAGATCGTTCCCCAAATTCCATGAAAAAATACTTCAACACGTCCAGTACCATTAGAGCTTTGTGGTCCCTGCAACCTGACTAACACGGGCGTAGCTGAAAAATCTTTGAAAAGAATATAGTATAATGAAAATACGGCTAAAAATATATAGCCTATGTATAAACTCGCGTGAAGAACAACGGCGAAATAGTATTGTTGAAAATTATGCTTGCGAGTTGCGAGAAAAGATACAAACAGATTTTACTTTTTAGGAAAATCTTTTAAATAAAAAATCTTGTTGGCTGCTGCGCCTTTAATGTCTGCTTTAGACGTGGAACTTAAAAAAAGATTTTAGCTGATTAACATCAGGTTCGGCAGATGAAATATTCGACGTCTGAAACGGGCCTAATTTTAGCATGCGCCGAGCTAGGGTACTGATTCGACTGGGAGATTTGAATTAGCAGCATACGCGTATGCCATGAGGCATGCATGGGCCTTGTTTACGCTGCACTCAATATATTGCCAACGCACGACAAGCTATAGGTGCTCGGCCATATTAATGTCGATTGTGCTCGGGTTTTTTAGTAGTAGCCTGCACTCTAATAAAATTGAGACTGTCTACAGCTTCGTAATATATGCCATGCACAATGAGACTGCGGTAGTTTAATTAGAAAATTAATTTTGATCTTATAAACTTAAAATTTCGAATGTGATTCACGCAATGTTTACGTCAGCTGAGTGTTACTTTAAATATTCTGTTTTACTATTTTTTTCCATCATCCTAAAAAATTGTCTAAATGGAAACAGGTCTATTTTTCGTATTTATATTATTATATTTTGTATTCTTGTTCATGGGAATTTATCCCCGAGCCGGTGCGGAACACCGTGCGAGGGTACTAATTCCGCTCGGAGATTATGACTACACCCCGGTATTCTACAGAACATTGCGGAATCCGAAGTTGTTCAAATTCTATGTCATGGACCTTGGATGGTTTTGTAAGTTTTTAAGAAATTTAAGTGAATGAGTGGAAACCGTCGATCAGAAACTAACTGATTGGCTGAGTCGGAAATTTGTATTTATACCACATTAAATACGATGTTACTTAAAGTATTGTTATTTGCAAGGAAACATGCATCATGATAAATTATGGAGTCAAAAATATTCTGGAATACAAATAGCAAGTTGTTTAAAAAGCTTCGGAGGAAATCACTGAAAGGTATACCTTCTGTAGAACATTCAACACCGGCGTCCCTGTCGTGATTGCAAAAAAAGTGAATAAACCACGATGGCCCATCGTGAGGACAGCTTAAAATACTCTGCTCTTTCCCAGTACATGCGACGCTAGATAACCATGTAATTCCAAAACCAGAAGGTGTCTCGAATCCTTTAAAAGCCCTAGCAGCATCTTTGTAACCAAGCTGACGACAGATAACCCTAGCATCTCTCAAGTCCCATCCAAAATCACAAATCGTTCCCCAACGTCCTTTGTAGAATACTTCGACGCGTCCAGTACCATTTGAACTTAATGGTCCTTGCAACCTTACCAATACAGCTGTAAGATATTAATAGATTTTCTCACTCAGCTAGAATCATATATAAAGTCCCACACACATTTAAACACATGTATTGATCATTTCAGATATAAATATATATAAAAAATATATAAAAATTATATTTATAACAAGAAATTTTACATTGCCAACTATTTCGGTCTATTCTGTGTCTGTACATATGGCAGCAGAATTACAGCGCCGGAATTTGCATATGAAAATTAGCTTAAAAATTGCCAGCTTACTAGTAAATGAGGCGAAAATGAACATATTTTACTTGCTTTAGGGAGAGGGTTATTCCTCGAATTTCTTCTTCATATTTTGGGTATATTTCAAGAAGTATTTATAATTTTGTACATGATTTTGGAAAAGGTTGGTAGATTTTCAATGAGAATTAATGTTGAGATGAGAATTAATGTTCCAGTGAACTTCAGTGTTTATAGCATACACGTCTACAGTGCTTACGCTGGAAGAACCAATCCTTAAAAGGAAAGGTAAATTAAATTCATTAGCACCTAATTTTTAAAGAAGGCCATATAGATCTTCATATCAGCAACATGGTCCTATTTTGGCAAACGTAAAGAGGAACGCTTATTTTATGAATTTCACCATTTTTATTTTTTACAATTATGCTATATAAGTTTATATTGCAAGGTAGTTTGTGTTCATTGGTGCATCCACTATCTAACAGTAACGTATATCGCGGTCGCATTGACCAAAATAGTTGGCGATGCCTCAAGATACTGTCCTTCGTTATAGGGACGTTAAGCATGTAGGACGCGAACGGGCAGACGGCGGCTATCAATACAATGGGTCATTGAAAAGAAATGAATAATTAAAGACCCATCTTGACTAGTCCTCTAATTTTCAGTTTTTAAAAATCGATAAGATTGATGTTGTTTTGAACGTGAACAAACAAGACTTCTCAATTGTGGGTTGCAGAGAAAGCAAATTTTAATAATAACCTTTTAAATTAGCGCTAAATCACGCATGCTTGGCATCCATAATGGCCTGCATTTCTTGCCAAGATTGTATTACACGAAAAATTTTGCGAAATATATAGTGTAATATACCTTTCGAATTACATTTTACTCCAGCGTCTTGATTATGAGAACAAGAATGATCCCCCCAACCACCATGAGAACAACTTGTTAGATTTTGCTCATCACCAGCACAAACTATGTTCGCTAGCCATATCTGACCAGAACCAGAAGGAAACGAGTTCCTCTGAAGTGTGCGTACATGTAAATTATCAGGATCATAACCAAGTTGACGACAAACAACCCTAGCATCTCTCATATCCCATCCATTATCGCAAATTGTTCCCCAATATCCATGATAGAATACTTCAACACGACCTGCACCATTTGCACTGTGAGGTCCTTGTAATCTTAGTTTCACGGACTTAATATCATCTGGGTAATCTTTAAAAAAGTTGTGTCAGTCTGTTTTTAAAATTAGGCTGGGCCATATGTAATAAGTATCATCTAATTTTGAAAATAGCCCATGCAGGCCGTACAAAGGGAGTCAGTCGATCATGGGACGAATATATGAATATGAACACCCGCCCTAATTCAATTAAGTTTCTAAAAAAACATGCAAGACATGTAAATTAGCAATTAGTCAAAAACAGAGATATATTTCTCTATATATATATATATGAATATTTAAAAAAATAGATAACATTTAACTCTTGTCTGTTCAGCTATAGAGACACGGTACGGTCATTTGCGATAAGAAAAAAAACGTCTCATCACAAATAACTTAATACCGCGTATCTTTAACTGAACGGACAAGGGTTAAATGTTATCTATTTATTTTATAAATAAAATCGAAAAGTTCCCAAATTAAACGTTCAAATAGTTTTTTTTGTTTCTCCCAAGACACGTACGAAAATATAATTGGCTGACAAAATAAACAAGCGATGATTGACAAAATTCGGTAAAATTTTCTGTGACGTTTTCCGTGCGTCTATCCTCTTAAAGATCATGGTTCTCGATCAATGAAATTGGTTGGATTCTTTTAACCCTAAAACGTTATATTATATAAATTAATTGGGGCATCAAGGAGATTAGGACATCCATACCGGTTTTGGAACATTT